AATAGGCCTTTGAAATCGTACAGATTTTTTTTTCTATTGGGGTTTATTTTGAATTAAAAGTTGAAATGTGAGCTTAATGAGTTCATTTTACTTTCTGCCTTTGATGGTGTGGACTCGTAAGATTTAGATTAAAATATTTTCTTCAAAAGATTAAAGGAAAAAAAATCACTGTAATGTTTTGTACCAGTAGCGACCATGTTGTAAGATCTATGTTTTCCAAACTATTTATATCGAAGCATGAAAATGAACTCCATTCCAAGAATTTTTTCTTTTTTATTGGGGGCGGGGAGGTGATTTGAGTCTTGAATATATGTAAATAGTCTTCAGAAATACTAAATATGTACGAAAATCGCATAATTCTTCAAAAATATCTCAATTATGAATTTCTTTTCCAATTTCTATATATGGCAGTGTCTCAAGAAAAGACGACTCGTCTTCTTAACTAAACGTAACTTAAGAAACATGGATAATTCTAGACATACATGGATTTGAAGATTCAAAATTCGACGGTGAGCTGTGAACACTATTACTGATTAGCTTAACTTAAAAACTCACATTTCTGAGCCCAAGTTACGATTGGTAAAAAAAGGTGCATCTGTCCCTTTAATTTTAATTATCAATGCTTTTAAAGACATGTCTAAATGTAGACCTATATTGTCGTTTTCCTACTGACATTCATTTTTTTCAAAGTAATCTACCGGCTCTCTGATTAAATTTTAAGCTATTTCTCCAAATTAATATAAAATTTATGTTTCTAGAAACGAGCTTGTCTACATAATATACACTAGAGATCATCTGAAATTTTACTTTTTTCTAGAACCTTTAATTCTGCTTTTCAATACAAACTCTCGAATCCGCGAAACGTTTTGGTCAAGGACTGCTTTGTTTGCGGGATCTCCGAGAATTTAAGTAGTTTTCGTGGAAAATATTTATTTTTTCATTAAACGGATGCTGCCTCTTAGAATGTATATAAAATTTAAAATCTCAAACTTGGTCAATAAGAGTATATATTCATCAGTTGGACTTACCAGGTGTCATGACTAAAGAATAGAAACTCTATATAAGATGATATATCCATTAAACTAAATAATTATTGAAATACAATTCTAAACATGTTTTAAAATTACTTACTATAATGAATTATTACTTAGTTTTTATAGATTTATTAGATTATAGAGAGATTCTGTTGTATAGTTATAACACCAGGTAAGTCCATTGATGAACAAAGACTCATTTTAACCAAGTTTTAAAATTTCAAATTTTTTGGTCAACCTAAGATTCTTTTTAAAGTCAAAATATTTCAAAATCTAAATAACCTGAAACTGTGTCCAAAACTTTTTTCGTTTTGTGTCAAACATTTGATTGTGAAATGTAATATAAGTCAATACGCAGAATGACTTTGTGAAGTTTTCAAGATTTTTTAATGAGGGTTCGCAAGCAAACGAAGTATTATAAAGAAAATCTCGTTTACCGTACATATTCTAATACGAGTTCATCTTTCACAGCATTTTGTTTGAATGATATTCAAACACTGTAGAAAATATCTTTATAACACAAATGCAGATGAAAACGGTAATGACGACAAACCGGAATGGATATCATATACTTGTGACGTCACTCATTTTGACATTACGATATCTCTTGATATTCAAATGGTACAAAAACGAATCTATATTGTAATTGCCGATTGACCCAAAATGGTGATTACGACAAACCGAAATGATTAATATCTTACACCTGTGACGTCACTCATTTGGAATCTCTTTAAGACTCTTAATTTGTTTTTTAGGGGTTTTTTTTTGATACCATAAGAGCTTGCAATTACATTTATAAGGAACAGGGCGGTACCTGTCGCCTCATTAGTGACTTGTTCGGCAAAGTAACACCGTCCAAAACCAACCCCAATTTTTCTTTATCAAAAGACATTCTATAACAAGTTTACCTTAATAACCACCGACAACAATGGGAATATTTTAGCTGAACAAATATGGCGGAGCTATATTTTACACAAGTAAATAGTCCGGTCTTCAACACAAAAACTCTTTCAGCCACTTATGTTGTATGTAGTGTTTTCTTAAAGGGTCTTCGTTTTGTCCACCCTTGTGTTTAAATAGCTTGGCGTTGGTCATTTTTAAGGTCGTGTGTTCTGAAGCCCTCTTTGACACTTTTTGTCCTGTGAAATCGTTGGTTACAAATTCTTTTAAGTTCAAATAATGAAACAATGTATTTCTTCCCAAACAGGCAATTATGGACAAACTTATGTCGACCAATACTGACAAGCGTCGACTAAAGACAAACTCACAGTTACTAATACTGTCGACTGAAAAACTTATGTAGACCAATACTGGCAAGCTTAGTCGACTCAAGGGAAAATCACAGTTACAAATACTGTCGACCAATACTGGCAAACTTATGTCGACAAATACTGACAAACTGTTGTTGACGAATATTGCCAAACTTGTTATGACTAAAGGCAAACTCACATTGTCAAAATTATGTCGAAGAAACACTGTCAGACTCGTCAAAGCCAATCATGCTGACAACCGACCAATTCCATTAATGCAACCAAATACCATACACCCTGCCCCTCCGGATATATTACTTGCCCCTCCAAACAATTAAATCTAACTACGGGCCTGAAAGGCCTTGTTCAAAATTCTTTCTCCAGATGTAGATTGAAGATAAGGCGTGTCAAATCTTAATGGAGATTTAATGTCGTAAAGGTTGGATGTAGTACTAACATTATTTTAGATAATTATAAATTGTTTATCTAGCGTCATTTTATATCTGTTGTTTGTTTTCTTGTCTCTAGTGAGTTCACAATCGCAGAGTACTAGCAATATCTAGAATCAAATTTTCCGAATATGGACTTAATCTAATTCTACTTTGAAAATTTTGTTTACCTCTGCGTCCCTTGTGAGGTATATCAGGTGTTTAGGGTACAACGGATATTCTTCCATCGATAGTGCCATGTAAACAAATATAAGAATCACCGTGGCTAAAATTACCAGTTCCTTAACTTAGAATTCTTTTTTCTATGTGGAATTCATTTTGCAGAAATGAATGAAACGAAATGAATTTTACGTCCTACTTTTCTGCACCATGTGGGCTGATGAAGACGGCCAAAGTCGGGAAAGTGGCATTAGCCTGCTCTTTTTCGATTTTCAAGTGTCGAGGGATCTTTAACGTGTACAGCATGTAGAGCACGGAGCCTCGGTGTATTTTCCCAACCGAACGACTAGACGCTTTTTCCATGTCAGCGCAAATTCGTTCATTCATTTCATATGACGTGTCTTACTCATGGGTTGTACTTGTGAACTCTATAAATTCTGCCTATGTTCTGGAAGAGTAAGCATTCACCTTATCATCAAAAATAACATTAGGTTTAGTAATTAGGAGCAGAATAATAACCCTAAATACACAAAGAGTCGCCATATCTTATCGCTTGTTTATTTATCTTACATAGTTCTTGTGTAACGTTTAAACTGTCTGAAGGGACCTTTAACGACCCCTTAACTTCTCTATTTTGATAAGGCATAATCTACTGGTGTAATACTTTCCAAGTCAAAAGGGCACTTTAGGGCTACATTACGTCTCAATCCTAAATGAGTTTACCTTTACGTATGGTTCTTACATGGAAATAACACCACAAACGAACGTGGTACACGGCCATTTTGAGTCGAATTTTAAAAATTTTCTAACAAAGCCTTCAAATCACATATTAAAGCCATTTCGACCTTAATAAACTTCAAGGTCAAGGTATTGATTCAAAATGGTTGTTAACTACGTTCGTGTGTGTTATTTTTATGTAAGAACCATCGCAGTGATAAGCTTCGGAAATTTTAGGTTTACCCTTCAGGCCACATTCGTCAAAAGAGTAACCACCGGGCCGGTATGACGTCACCGATCGATTCCGAAGATCTTTTCGTTTTGTGAGGTTATGACACTCGACGTGGACGCTTTAATAACTGACCACCGTAATAGTATCCTTGAAATATAGAAGACAAAAATTCCCCCCCCCCCCCCCCAATTTCTACCGTAATATATGTACGTATTTAGTATGCATCAAAATGTACATGTAAAGAGGTATTCCGGGGTTTTTTTTGTAGGTCGAAATTTGTTTGCCTAAAATTTGTGAATTTATACAAAATCTAGAGAAATGTGTCCCTTATAATGACTGAAAGTTTTAAACTTAACAACACCCAGCCGTTAATTCTTTAACGCCAAAAATATTTAAAAAGTTTACGTGAGTTTTAAGAATGACAAATTGCTATTTGATCTGTCCGATTTTCAGAATGCCTAAGCATGTAATAATCATGTCTGAGAGGGCCTTAACATACATTTCGACAAGTTTTATTTTGATTCATGCCTTGTTTTGTTTATTTTAATTTTAACTTGCCCCATTTATCCGACCGAAAACGTCTGATATGGCCTTTAACGACCCCTTTATTTTGATTAGACCTTAGCGAGCCGCCTCAATTCTTAAACTACTTTTAATGAACTGTCAGAGACTTCATAGTTTCCTTTTATTACTCGTGTACTCTGTCCCGCTGCTTGCATTAGACATTCTAAAGAGCTTCCCCGCTCTTCTATTTACTCCCTTGAACAAATAAACACATTTTAGACCTCATACAAAATTTCTTTCTTCTATTTTACAGATTGTCCCAGTGTTAGAAAAGAACCTTTCAACCGATACTAAAACGTTGGGCGGAGCTCATTAGTGGGCATTTCTCAACAAGCTCGCTGATTGGTTGCTGGTTAGTTGATTGACAACTGACGTCACCTGTCAAGTGGATAACGAGGTTTAGTAACGAGCAGGCATTAGTTTGAAAGGAGGAACGATAATTATGATGATTACCGGCTTGCCAAGACAGTGAAAAGAAAGTAAAATCTTCATTTAACAAGCTCGAGTGAATCAAACCAGTGGTGAACTTGGAATATATAAAATATGTATTTAGTTGGATTAAACCAGTGTCAGTGAATTGAAATCTAATATCTACATCGGCAATATAGACCTATACCGACTCAAGTACAGTGAAGCTATAGGAATCGAACTTCGACTTTATATCTTACATTAAAGAGTGATTAATGCATACGACCTCGACTTAGCCGAGATTTAGACTTATTTTACGAATTAAGGATTTTAAAGTTCAGCAATAATCTGAAAGGGTTAACAATTTAAAAGCCTAGTGAATTGAACGTACGAACTTATAAAAAAAGTTTTTCAAGTGAAATTGGATATTACCATACATTCATATCGGAGATAAAAAACTTAGAAAAACAAGCCAGTATTTTGTAGATAAATACCATGTATTAGACGAAGTGTACGCGACTTTTGTTTGCCATCAATAGTCATCTTTGTGGGCCAACGACTAAAAAAACAAAATGGGTGCCAGGGGCGTCGTGTCCCTCCCTCCACTATTTTCATTCTTTGTCCTCTTGTTTTTTCTTCAACCTTGTTACATGAAAAGCGAAGAGCCAAGAAAATGTTTGGAAATTTCTATACCGATGTGTAAAGGCATAGGATACAATTACACGTATATGCCGAACCAGTTTAACCACGAGACGCAAGAGGAGGCCGGATTGGAAGTGCATCAGTTCTGGCCGTTGGTAGAGATCCAGTGTTCTCCAGATTTACTTTTCTTCTTGTGCAGTATATATGCTCCAATTTGTATGACCAATTACAAAAAGCATCTACCAGCTTGTCGTTCCGTCTGCGAGAGAGCTAAATCTGGTTGTGCGCCGTTGATGCGACAGTACGGTTTCGCTTGGCCGGAACGTATGAATTGCGAAAGTTTACCAGAATACGGAGACAAAGATCATCTTTGTATGGACATGAACACAACTGATCCTCAAACACCTGCACCACCGACAGGAGGGTTCACTGGTAAACCACTCCCTAAACGACCCATTACCCAGAAACCAGGCGGTGGAATAAATCCAATCGACATTGTTCCCCTGACTACCAAACTTCCAGGCAAACAGTGCTCGTGTAAGTGTGAGTCTCCACTCGTGACCGTAAAGGAAGGTAATCCAAATTATTATAACCGGATCAAGACTGGTGGAATCGCAAACTGTGCTGTCAATTGTTACAGTCCGTATTTTGGGAAGAATGAAAAGACGTTTGCGACATTTTGGATCGGATTATGGTCAATTCTTTGCTGCATTTCCACCGCCATGACAGTAAGTACGTTCTTTGTGGACATGCAACGCTTCAAATATCCAGAACGACCTATTATTTTTCTCAGTGCTTGCTACTTCATGGTTAGTGTCGGATACATCATCCGACTGATAGTCGGTCACGAAAAAGTCGCATGTGACGGAGATATGATCCGATATGAAACGACCGGACCGGCTTTGTGCACAGTTGTATTCTTGCTAGTGTATTTCTTTGGAATGGCAAGCTCTATTTGGTGGGTTATTCTTTCTTTCACGTGGTTCCTTGCCGCTGGATTAAAATGGGGCCAGGAGGCTATCGCCAGCTATTCCCAATATTTCCATTTAGCTGCTTGGTTGATCCCTTCCGTCAAAAGTATCGCAGTGTTAGCCATGTCGTCCGTTGACGGAGATCCCATCGCCGGAATATGTTACGTCGGCAACCAAAACATCGAAAACATGCGTGGATTTGTGCTGGCTCCTTTGTTCGTTTACCTCATTATTGGAACCTCCTTTCTTCTCGCCGGATTTGTGTCACTTTTCCGTATTCGTAACGTAATAAAACAACAAGGACGTGGTAAAACGGACAAATTAGAACGACTAATGATCCGAATTGGAGTGTTCTCCGTCCTATATACAGTGCCAGCGACCATTGTCATTGCATGTCATTTCTACGAACAGTATCTTAAAGACAAATGGGAAACGAGTCATAACTGCTTATCCTGCCAAGCACCGCAATGGCGGCCGGACTATTCAGTGTTTATGTTAAAATACTTTATGTGCCTCGTTGTGGGTATCACTTCCGGATTTTGGATCTGGACGGGCAAAACCGTGGAATCTTGGCGAAAACTTTTTTACGGTCGAATGTGTAAGAAACATTCATACACTCATCCGAGTCGAATGACAAAATACACAAGTCCAAATTATCAGGGAGCCAAACCTCAACCGCTTAGTCATGTGTGAGAAAACATTACGATATACTCAAATTCTTAACTTATTTTTTGTATGAATTCTCAGAAACGAATCGGGTGTTAAATGCTCAAAATACTTACTATAAGCTTCGAATAAAAACTGTGTTATTTTCCGTAACGAAATATTTGATATTAACGTGATTTTTGTGATTATCAAAACGTTTAAAATTTTAGAATTTTTACGGAAACGAAAATAAAAAAAAATTGTACATTGGAAGTAATTGTCTTCTAAGAATTTTTATTTTCCTTAACACGAACTGAGTAAAAGTGCGGCGAGATTCCTGTTTTTGTGTTTTCAAAATGAAGGATGAACGTTTTTAATTATTATTATTATTAATATTATATCGAGTGTAAATAGTGTAAATTTGTGTATATATAGCGACAAAGTGTACATAATGTGTAAGTAGCCAAATATTATTATTATTATTAATATTATTATTATGTAGACTCGTATCACCAGCTCATGTTGTGCCTACTTTACAGGAGCACTAGAATTGTTATAGACATATTTGTGTCTGCTGTTTTGTCAACGTAATAATGACGTCATAGTACAGTGCGCGTGTGAAATATTTTGGATGTATATTGCATTGTTTACATTTTGTGATTTTTTAAACTGCATAATCAATGAAGTATTTCATCTAATTCCTGATTTTCGACGAAATTTACAACGTTTATTCAAATTCAACTTTTTGGTTCTTTTTCCTTTGTATATTTTTTAACTTCCAAAAATATTGGAATAATATTTTTTTCTAAATTGATTAAATTTTTTGAATCTCTTATAATTGCCAAAAAAGAGGATTTTTTTAAATTTTAATTCGGTTCTTCAAATTTTTTCAAAATTGCTTTTTCTTATTCTCATAGATAATGAAACTTAAACGTTTATGTTGTGTTTAGACCATTGCGATTTTTATGAAATATCTTCTTATTTTTATGACCTAAAATTGATATTCGTTTAAGATTGGGCCTAGTGTTTTCAAAAAATTTCGCAAAACGCCATATAGGGCCTATCAAGTTTTTCATTCTGTTTCCGATGAAAAATATATGAAAATCAGTTTTGTGGTCAAAATTTTCAAGCCAAAATATTTTTCGGTTACGACTTAAACAATATTAAGTATTTTTTTGTCATACATCCCCCTTTTACTATTGCCAATCTTGCGATTTATTCAATGTGATAACAGACAGAAAATTCGAAACAAAAACAAAAACATTTTATACGGAGCCATTAAAACAATAAACGAAAGATTATTGGTTATCATGATCACGTGACAGTATTTCATACAAAGAAAGTCAATAAAGTTATTTTTCTTTATCATCGTCTGTTTATTTCTTAAATTTAAGAGAGTCCATATGCATGAAAATCTAGAATCTTTAGCTTCATTTTACCAAGAATGTGGACAGTGGGTATGATTTTTTTTCCAAATTTACCCTGTTTTCAAAATTTATCTGATGCATTTTCATTAATAGCTATTACACTACAAAATTTTATGAAACGAAAAACCATTTAGGCTACGTTTTCTATACCGAATTATATTTTGAATTTGTCCCTTTTTATATTCTTGCAAAAATGTCATTTTGAAAAAAATTATTTTAGAAAAAAAAAACATTTTAATTGCGTCTGCAGTCTACTCTCTTCTTTTAAGAAAATTTCGTCTTCAAAGAATAAAACCGGTTCTATAATTTTTTTACACGAATAATTTTATTTTTGATCTAAAGGATTTAAATGCCAAATTTGTGTTTAGAATCTTGACGAAGGGACAATTATTTGAGGCATTTGAATAATTTTATCCAAAATCAAGGAATTGATTGCAGCGACATGTGCCACTTTAAAATCGATTAGATCATAATCCATCTTTTAAAACATAATGGATTAATATTATTAATCCTATTAATGTCATTTAGGATAATCCTAATCCAATTTAGTTTCAACTATGAAATCCAAATCACGAGATATTAATCATTTTGTACAGAAATCCAGTTTGTCTTAATACAAATCTTTCCATTTTTTTACTCATTTTAACTCACAAAAGATTGTCATATATCATTAAAGGCCACATTTCACTGAACTTTCATTCCATCGTATGAAATACTGTCACGTGATATATTTTGTATTCAATATGGGTTTTGCACCCAGAGCCCTCTTATTCCCCCCCCCTTCCCACCAATCAATATCTGTACTATTGTAATGTCATGAGCTTTGATAATAATAACTACATTTAGAAACATTTTAGTGTACTTTATTTATCCTTTACTGAAACACCTAATGCCACCCTGCCTCTGAGTTGGTCTACTCACAAAACTATCAGAGATTAGTGCATGTTTGACCAAGGCTATAATGGCCTCAAAGGGTTCACTATAGGCCTACAGTTGCAACATGATATGCATATCTGTGGAACATATTAAAGGGATTGTAAAGAGGTTTTTTAATTATGTATGTGTATCGGGGACACTGATAGCATCAATTTGCACCATTACAATGTTCAATCAGACGTCTGCGGTTTCTGCAATTCCACTAAAACTAAGTTTTTGATCACGTCACTTATCGCAAAATATGCTTTATCACATAGGGTTATCTAGTGGAATTGCAGGAACCATTGAAGTTTGATTGAAAATTGTAATGGTGCTAATTGATGCTATCAGTTTCCCCGATACACATACAAACGTAGAAAACCTCTTTTCAAGGCTGCCACATCGTTTACAGAAATCATTTGTCAAATTGGAACTAATTGTTTGTCGAAACAAGTGCAACATCTACCAGCCTAGTTTACAACTGTTTCAAATTGGCTGAACATTGGTCGTGGCTTTATCGTCTGAATTCCATTTGTCATTTTTTTTTTTGCAAAAGTAATGTCATATTTCTTTGATACAATGGCCTGGACAAGTTCTTGGTGAAACTAGTTTATGGGGCCGCTCGATTGGTGAGTTCTACACGTTCGGGATTTATGGAATCGACAGAACAGTTGAATAAAACAAGTTGGGACCGAGTTCAGAACGTGTTCCACGTCTTCCGAAAAATAGTAGTACTCGTCTCATGTATGAAACTGTATGCACGTTAAGGATTTATCAACTGGACGTTCAACCAAACAAGATGGAACAGTGTTCAGAACGCGTCGCGCGTGTCCAAAAAATAGCAGGTGCAGACAGAACTCAAAATGGCGGAGAAGGAAATAGATGGGAAAGTTTTGAATGTGACATATTTCGCTTACGTACAGTCGAACGGGGGCAGAATTGGAATAAATGGAACCTGTTCATAACTCTTCAATCGAGCGCCAAAAGTATAAACCAATCAGGAGTCATTGAAGTCATTCAGTTCTGATGAATATTACAGACTCACAACAATACAGAGCAGAGGTTTGTTCATATTTTTGTTTCTTTTCCATGTTAAAATTCGTAGAATTATATCACAGAACACGCCAGAGTATCAAGCGACATACATGTAGGTTAACATAGTCCTTGAAAGACATAAACTCTGACGGTGGGAGGGGACGGTTTTATGTGGTCGTGTTCTGTGTAGAAGTGAAAATAACATACTTTTGGCACTGAAAATCCCCCTCTGTAAAATCATGTTTGCTAACAATAACTTTTCCAGTGGCTGATATTTTCATCAACCCAAAGACAATCTAAGACTCTCAGTAGTGGTTTGTACTTGATATTTCAATTCATATGAAAATAATTCGCAAAATTTGCTTGACCCAAAAATTACAGTCTAAATACACCACTGCCTACTATGTTAGAGTTGTAGGTACTATTCTGATTATGAAGAATGGTTTTGTTTTATCATTGATAAAGGTCATAGAATTGATAACATTCTCTCTCACCGGGTTCCTTCAGTTCATTCTAGTTAAATATACTAAGATGGTTTTCGTCTCAATCTTCCATATTTATTAGGCCTCTTAGCTTTTACAACAATCCAAAAAAAAAAAAAATTCGGCCTTTTCAAACTTTGAGTCTTCAAATCCATGATTGTCCAGAATTATTTGCGTTTGAAAGTTAAAAAGATGACTCTTCTTTTCTTGAGACATTGCCCTATATTAAAAAGACATCTATAGAAATACAGATATTTTTGAAGAAATTAAGTATATTTTAGGTACAGTTTTTGAACATTTCTAGTACTTCTGAAGGCTATATATTCAAAATTCAAATCAACCCCCTAAAATGGCACTCCTCTACCGATGAAATAGGCCTACTTCCAGAAAACCTTGCTCAGAACATAGCTTGTATAATTTTACACCAACCAGAGAACCACTTTTAGAGACAATATATTGACTTCACATGAGTAATGATGACAGGTCCAAGTGTCTTGCACGGTTTTTTACTCGCAGTGGCAGAGCCAGGTTTACGTCCGAGGGGGACAAAAAATATCTGAGATTGCCCGAATTTCTAAGCTAGTTATGAGATTTTTGTATAAAAAACTTGCTTTCCGGGCTGCAAGTTGCCCAACCTTTGTTTCTGCCACTGTTTACATCACACTCAGCTGCCAGTGTTTGGTACCCCATGAAATGTTGTCAATGTTTTGTACATACACATTCCGTAGAATGATGTTTGGCAACTGAGATGGACTAAAAACATTTCACTAAAATTCGGTCAGAAGTTCCTTTAAAGGGACAGATGTGCCATATTTTGGGGTTGATTTGTGCTAGGAGTGTATGAAAATAAGATAATTCCTTCAAAAATATCTCAAACTAAGAATTTATTTTCTTATTTCTATATATGTCTTTGCTATATATATGACAGAGTCTCAAGAAAAGACAAGCGTCTTTTTAACTTTCAAACGAGGATAATTCTGGACACAAATGGACTTGACGAAATGGAATTTCAACGTTGAGCTGTGAACACTATTACTGATTATCTTAGCTGAAAAATTCTCATTTCTGAGACTAATGTATGATTGGTAAAATAAGTCTAAAGTATCCCTTTAAAAAGTATCAAAGTGACCAATTTGGAAGAAATATATCTATTTTCTTTCTAAATGAACTGCCGTCTGACTTAGATGTTTCATTTCATTTTCAATTTACCAACATTCATGTAATTTCAAACCAATTTCAAAGCTTAATAGATGAAATAACCACAAGCAAGGCATGTTCATTGGTTTTTTTTCAGAGGTTTTCAACCAGTGGAAGGGGGTAATTTTGAAATTGTTTGGGAGAAATAAGGCTCTTTGTAGTCTTGTATAAAAAAAATGAAAAATTAAATCTACTTTCACTGCCAAATCTTTATAGTCAGTATGCCAAAATTAGTAGATCAATTCATTTTTATATCCAATAAGCAATTAAAGGGACAGGTTTGCCATTTTTTGACCAAACGTACCTTAGTCTCAGAAACGAAAAGTCAACCAGTATTATTGTTCACAGCTCATTGTTGAAATTTGGGCCTTCAAATCCATGTATGTTCAGAATTATCTGTGTTTGAAAATTAAAAAGACAAGTCGCCTTTCTTAAGACACTGCTATCTATAGAAAAGACTTTTATAGAAATAGGAAAAGAAATTCCTGAGATATTTTTCAAGGAATTATGTGATTTTCGTACACTTCTAGTACTTCTGGAGACTATTTACATATATTCAAGACTGAAATAAATCTCACAAAACATCGCACCTCTCCCTTTAAGTTTTCTGCAGTGTGTTAACTCACATTTTTCTTTAAATCACTTGTTTTATATAAACTTTTACACCTATCACTGAAAAAATGTACATTGATGTTTTTGTTTTTTTTTGTCTTTTAGAATGTGAAAAGATGAAAAGTTACCAAAAATACATTCAAAAAGACTTAAAAAATGGATGATAATACAGTAATCAAAAGTCATCTCTAAGGTATGTTTTACTCTTTATTTCAACAAGCATACTTTAGAAATATTCTTGGTATAATTTACAAGGTTTTTTTATAATGAAAATGTTTTACAAAAAAGGGGAATGCCCCTTTAAGGCAGCCGTGGTTTTGAGCTTGTGGATCCAATTTGCCGTTCCCTGTAAAACTCTATCTATCTGTCTGACTTACTGATCCACCGTGGCTCCTTTTTGAAATAGGTAGTGTTCACATGTACTTAATATTTTATAGGCAGTAGATGTTCAGAGTGAAATTAAGAAAAGAGATGAAATAATAATTAGATTAAGTGAAAGATTAAAAGAATCTGTAAAATATCGTGATGAACAGATATCTCTACAATATCAACAGATTGAAGACTTGAAATTACATCTTGAAAAACTACAGCAAGAATTTCATCAGGTAATTTTAAAGTGATTATATGATTATTTGGGTCAACTATAAGCCATCCTGTCTGTGATGTGATGTGGTTCCTTTTCAATCTGGGGTTAATTAAAGGGACAGATGCTCCATTTTAGGGGGTCTTCAGAAGTACTAGAAAAGTATGAAAATTGCATAATTCCTTCAAAAATATCTCAAATTAGGAATTTACTCCCTATTTCTATATATGTCTTTTCTATATATATCATAGAGTATCCTAAAATGACGAGTCGTCATTTTAATTTTTAAACGAGGATGATCCTGGACAGACATGGATATTAAGGCTCAAATTTTGACAATGAGCTGTGAACACTATAACTGATTTGCTTAGCTAAAAAAAATTTCCTGTTTCTGAGACTAAAATATGATTGGTAAAAAAAATGGCGCATCTGTCCCTTTAAGCCCAAAGCACACAAAAACCTTTTGTCTGGGAAACATTGTTTCAAGAAACATTTGTTTAAAAATCAAACT